AAATAATGAGTGCGTGACCAAAAAGTTAAAAAAGTCACGCCGTTTGCTTTTGCCAAGAAAAATCTTTGATCATATGCGAGTTAACATACATCGATAGCAATATATTAGAATAAATTCACGAAATATACATGCAAAAGTAAACGCGATTATATCGGCCACCAGGGCCAGCTTTATTGTTGCTTTATAATTGCAAATGCGTACCACATTTCTTTGGCTATGTTACATAACTTAGGGCAAAAAAACAAATACATTTGACATATTCTAATTCTAATTGTTATATTCTAACTTTTGCGAAACCTGCGAGGCAGCCAGTGCGGCCCCCCAAAAGTGCTGGTGACATAAGATCAATTAATGCAACTTATTGGTTCTTTTCTAGCCGCATATTGTAGATCATTTTTTTTTACTGTAAGATAGTATATACAATGGCTGTGCCATGATTACGTCACTGGTACTTTGGGGGGGCCGCCCTGGCTGCCTCGAAACCTGCAATCGAGTAAAGGCCGTTAAAAACATGGAAATATTAAGCAAGCAATAAAAGAAATATTCACCAATTCTCGACGTTAGTAACATGCCTCGTATTATTATTTGTATCCCACCAACATGCAATTACACTAATTTTTGTAAAGTCAAGGTCATGCCAAAAGTATACGACCCGAAGGCCCTTTTGCAATTGAGATTCGGTTGGCCAGTCTGGCTCTGAAATGGCGTCTTTGCAACAGGTGAAATGAACAACCCATGTTTCATCTGCAGGTAGTTTCTTGTCGTATAGGAGTGCCCGTTCATAGTGTTCCTTAAGCTCTTTTTTTGTTGCTGTAGCTAAAAGTTCAAGAGCAATTGTTGGATGATTAAGTTGTGATATAACTATGTCGACATACTTATTATTTATGTGCTCACTAGCACGATATTTTAGATGCCATTGTCCAGTTATTGTAAATCTACCAAGCCAATTTGACATGATCTGGTAAAGTTCTGCATCATACACTGATTCCCTAGGAACTTTCTGATTATTCACATTGCTAACAAGTACACGTGCTAACTTAAAAGAGTTACGAGATTTTATTGTTTCGCGATCAAATACACGTATAACTTGTTTTAAGACCTCAAAGATGTCTAAGGTACCCGTCGAAGGATGGTATGGGACATCTACTTTAGGTGAAGTCAGAAATACATGAGGAATTATTTGCTGAAGGACCATCCAGCGCACTAAAGGTGAGGAAATCTTAAATGTTCCATCATTATCCCCAGGTACAAGAACTCCTTCTGCTGTGAGGAATAAAGCTAGGTTTCTTTTATTTCCAGCGACAAATATAGGGTCAAAATTAGCCAGAAAATCGGATCGGAACTGTTTCATAGCATCCACAGAATTCTCATTCAAAAGGGCATCTTTCATTCTCATAAATGTTGGGTATTCTAAAATCGCATTTCCTAGTAAAAAGGTGGCAAAACGTTGCCATGAGTTATAGCTCAAGTGTAATCCTATTTCTGGTAGTAATTTTCTATATATCGCACGTCCACAAAGGCAGACAAGACCAGCATGTCTATTAAAAAAAAATAGAAAATTTTAAAACTCTTAGTGAGGATTATTAGTCTTCATCTAGTTGCATACCCGTTTGTTTGTATGTATATGTCCTCGATAACTTCCTGGTCAATTGTCAACTCGTATTCATCCGCAAATTCTTTGTATATAAACTGTATTTGCTCCAAAGTAAAGTTCGGGTTCTGGAATGGTTCGTTAACGTTGAATGGTGAAGTGGTCAAATTATTCGAATTTAAATGCATGATGCTGAAGGGTCCAATAGCAATGATGGAGCGTATGGCATAGTCTTGTTTACTGGCTTTGATGCCACGAAGAGTCATCAAACACGAGGCAAGAACATCATCTGTTGCATTATACAACATATCAAACTCATCAAACAGGATGACGGTATCTAAAGACTTCCATTGGGTTCTATG